GAGGCTGAAGATGCTGGTTTTTCTTCTGGCGGAAGGAAAGGGTGGCTTGCTTTTAGGCCCTGCCTCACTTTCCAAGGGAGGGGCGTGTCTGCCTTCCCCCTGCAGGCATCTGGGGCAGAAAGAGACTGGGGGCCCCTTGCTCTGGACTCCCCAAAGGAGGAGGTCAGCCTGCCAGATAAAGGGCACCGGGCGCACTCACCAAGGAGGAGGAGGGGAGAGTCGGGGGGGGGGAGAAGAGCCAAGGTGCCCTTGGATGCTTGCTGGGTTCTCCAAATACACTTTTCCCTGAGCACATTCTGCCCCCCCCCTGCCCCCAGTAACAACACTCAATTGCTCTTGAGCAGAAGACTCAGAAAAGCTTAGCTGGGACTCCTTCCTCCTTCGTGGCAGCCACAGAGCCATCTGCATGCTATGGTTGAAATGTCACCATCCACACACACCCCGCTGACGACACTACCACCACCATGCACAGAGTGGGGGTGGGGGGTTGCTTGTTTCTAAACTGTTCTGTTTTAACAATCAGTGCATTTCTTTTTGTGGATTAAATTCTTTTCTGAAATACTGTTTGTGCTACAGCTTGCAAGGGAAATGGTGGAGAGCATGGGGGGCCATGGCTCTCCCACCCCCTCAACACACCTTGCTAAGCTTCTGCTTCTTAAGGGCCTCGGGGTGTGTGTGTGTGTGTGTGTGTGTGTCTGTGTCAGTTTGATTCCCACCCTCTGTGGCATTCTTGGGCATGCAGCTGTTAGCCCCCACCCCTGTAGAAAATGACCCACATTTATCAGGACTTCCTTACAGCAGTTTTTAGAAAACAAATAACTTTATGGAGCCGTTTCCACCATCCACAGACTCTTGTTATTGACCACTTGGCAAAGGCTGGCCCTCCGCTCCTTCCTGGGAGGCAGCACCCGTGAGCCCTAGCCAGCACAGCCAATGGCAAAGAACGATGGGCATTGCAGTCCAATGACTTCCAGCGGGCTGTGAGCTGGTGGCTATGCTGCAAACAAAACCCTGTCCGAAGGTGGTTGTGGGTTTTTCGAAACCCTGTCTCACACGCATAGCAGCAAAGCTCTCTGCAGAGGGGAGGGACATGTGCAAAGAGATGCTGGTGGCCCCCGTCGTGGTGAGCTGGGCCCCAAAGACGGGTCCACCAGCCCTTTCCAAAGGTGGCGTCTGGGAGATTCATGGCTGGCCTGTGCATCAAGCCAGCCTCCCCTGCCAAGAGCGAGACCCCCCCCCACACACACACACCCCGCCTGCTCAGCAGTCAAACCCAAGCCCTTGCTGGCCGCCCCCCTGTGCTCCATGGGAACGATGGTTCCATGCAGGCAGAGACTGGGCGAGAAGTGAGAGGAGGGCAGGCTGGGGTGGTGGTGGTGGGGCTGGCAGAGGAAAAGGGGGGGGAGCCCCGCTTACTAGCTGCTCTCTGTGGGGAGAAGGGTGGGACCTGCCTGGGCCATCACGCAGAGACTCTGGCACCCCTGCCCTGCCCTGCCAGCTGGGGGCAGCCACGGCCTCCTGGAGGGGAGCAGGAGCAGGAGGGGGAGCTCACAGGCCTGCCACCCCGCCACCGTTCCGGAAGTGGGACTGGCTGAGGCTCCTGGTCACAGACGCCACCGTCCTGTCCATGGACTCAAAGGTGAGCGGCTGCTGCTGTTGCTGGTGCTGCTGCTGGCGAGGGGTTCCGTTGCTGCTGCTGCCACCGCCAGCCCCGGCTGGGCCCCCCCTCCGCATGGAGTTAGCTGAGAGAGAGAGAGAGAGAGAGAGGCAGTGGCGGCTGCTGTCGGAGGCGAACAGGGCTTTACAGGCTCCGGAGTCAAGCCACCACCACCCCCGGCCAAGTCCCACGTTAACTCACAGGCCGAGGGAGAGGCACCGATGTCTGCAAAGGCCGAGCGAGCTCTCTCCATCTTCGAGGGGGGTCGGGGGGGCTTCATCACTGCATGGGACAGGAAAGGGCGGGTAAAGCTGTCAGGGAGGGGCACAGCAGCCAGCAAAGAGGGATGGGCCTCCAGTGGGTCCCGAGGGAGGAGGCCTGGTCCCCTAAACCGCCCACTCTGGAGGTCAGCTTTCTCCAGATGGGATCAGATGGGAGGAGACCGACATTCTAAGGGCTGGGAGATGCTGACATTCCCAGAGTGTGCACGACCACAGCTCCCCACATCCCTCCGGACAGCAGGATCAGTGGATACTGGGAGTTTGACTTCAAAAAAGGGTTAGGGTCAGGGTTTCCCATGATCTGGACCTCACATTCGCTGTTATCATAGTGACATAGCTTTGGCATGGCAGCTTGTCGTAAGGAAGCTAGTAGGCCAATGTTAACTTTGCAGACACCCCCTCGTTGGAAAAAGGAATTCCTCGCATGCTGAAAACCTTTGAGTGTTACAGGCAGAGCTTTTCATCCTCCCTCTAATTTGCACATGAGGTTGTTCTCCATCTCTTTGCCTCCGCCTTGCAGAATGTTCCCTTCGTGCAAATCAGTTCAGGTGAGAAATAAAAATACTGCGAGAGCCCAGAATGGCAGGCCTCGTTCTGCCTGCCTGCCTGAGATGAGTTCCTGACATCTAAGTTACAGACCGGCGGAGGACTTCATCCTTCCAGGGGATCTCTGTGTGGAGACACCCTTTGGTTTCTGCATCAGCAACAAAGAGTTTTGTTCTACTTTAACGGCCAACACGCTTGATGGGCCGGAAAGGTCACACCTCCGGCAAAGCGGGGGGCCCTTCTCTCGAGCTTGTGCCAAAGAAACCAGGGTGGTGGTGCCACCAGGTGCAGTTGGCTTTGCGGCAGCCCCCTCCTGGGCCTGCCCTCTGGAAAAATCCCTGCTCCGAGCCATGGGTGCAAAAACGAGGCCTCCTCCGCCTAGCCTGGTAGGTAGAGAGCCCAGGAATGTCAACAAGGCTGCTGATGAGAAGGGTCTGTGGTCCCCCCGAAAAATGCCCCCTCCCTCCCACCCCCTCCCACCCTGAAGCGCACCTGCAAACTCCTTCTGCAGGGCAAGCACCCGCTCTCCAGCTTGTGCGCTCACCCGCCCTTTGTAGAGAACACCGTTAACGCCGAGGATGTCCACTTCAGTCTGAAAGGAGGAGACACTCAGCTCGCAGGCCACTGCGCCCCCCCATGCCCACTTCTATTGAGGATAAGGGGATGAGATGCATTCCAGGAGGAGGAGGAGGTACGTGTGAGTGTAGGTGTCCTTACCTGCCTGCCCCCCTTCACGGCTCCCTCTTTGCTCTCAGCATCCCCGGCCCTCCCCTCCCCCATTGGGTGCCCCAGATGGCCCACCGGCTGCTCACATGGTCATAGGTGAGGGCGGTTGGGTCTCCGTAGGGATAGACAGTGGAGAGGTCCTGGGAGCGGGACAGCCGCTTGATGGTGCAGGCCTGGTGGTGGGCTTGGCACTGCCAGCAGGTCTGTGGGGGCGGCTGGCTGCCTGCTTCGGTGGCCTCCTGATCCCTGGGGAAGGAAGGTATGCGAGGTTGCCCCAGGCAGGCTGGCCGGGGTCGCTTGAAATGGGACCCCCCCCGCCCCGCCCAAGCTGGCTCCCAAGGTGAAAGGGTTCCTCCTCGGAGGGAGGCGGCCAGCAGGTGGGGACTTCTAGTCCCCAGGCTGCTTCAGGGACTTCTAGCAGGGGCCGAGGACCCAGCAAGGAAATCATCTTACCTCGCAGCAAACCGTGGAGAAGCTTGGGGGTCGGGGTGGGGTGGGCCCCCCACGCTGGGCCTTTTCTTCCTTGGCTGCCTTTCAGGGCAGGCTCTCCCCAGGGAACCCTCCCTGCTGCCCCCCTCCCCAGGCCCCCCCATGGGCTCCTCCTCACTTCCTCTGCGGCCTTTGCAGGTATTCGTAGCCGTTGGCGCTGGCTGGACGTGGCCTGAGGGGCGCCTTCCGTACCGTGACCATGTGCCTGCAAGGGAGGAAGGGAGCTGAAAGCGAGGAGGAGGCCTGTCCCTGCTCCCCAGCTCCCAGCTGCCCTCCCAACAACACAACCCCCCCCCGTGCTCTCCATACTCACGGCCCGGTCATCATGGTCACTGGCCGGTCGCAGGAGATGCACTTCACCCGCTCAAACAGCTGCCTGCAACACACCACAACCCCCCCACACGTTAGGGCTCTCCATTGTGTCAATGGGGCACGCACACACCCCACTCCACACATCCATATACCTGCCAGTCTGGAATTGCTCTTCCGTTTGCATGCCACTAGAGCAGGGGTCTCAAACATGCGGCCCAGGGGCCATTTGCAGCCCGCCGGATGATAGTTTGCGGCCCCCACCTTGCCTGCCCTATGAAGTGCCCCCGCGTCCTCTGCTGTCAAGAGTCAAAAAAAGCCTCACCTCGCTCACTGGATGTCTCACAAGGCAGCGCCTCCTGCACCCCCCCTGCGGAACTGCCTGCCAGCTAGCCCACCTCTCTGCCGGCTGGCAGGCTGCAGTTCCGGATGGAGGGTGCAAGAGGCGCTGTCTTAGGGGAGAGCTGGCAAGCGAGGTGCACTGCTGGCCCTTTTCCCCAAGCGCCCGAGCCACCAATGAGTGATGCCTGAGAATGGAGCTCGCTCTCGGTCTGTCCTCGAAGAGCCCCTCCAACAGCACCTCTTCCAGGGAAGCGGCTCTTTGGCTCTCTTTCTCTCTTGGCCCCCCCAGCCCCAGCCTGGCCAGCGGCCACGTCAACACCCAGCAGTGCTTCCTCCTCCTCCTCCTCTTCGTCCTGCTTCAGCCACCTCGGCACTGGAGGCTGCCTAGGCTCGCCTCGCAAAGTTTGCTCCTCTGTCGTGGTGGGGGTAGCTGCTGCTGCTGCTGCTGAATGTGCCTGTGTGTATGTGTGTTTGTGCGCGCACACATGCCCATGCACACCTGTGGGAGGGCACCCCGTCCTGTTTAATTTCGTGGGTACCGATGGAAGCTTTTCTCTTTTGGCAAGGCGATTCTGTGGGGGTTTTAAAAAATTTTTATGTCATGCCCTCCTGCCCCCCCCCCAGGCTAGGCGGTTGCCAGCGCTCCTGGAGGGGGTCGTGGCCAGTGACAAGGGCTCGCACCCCTCCTCCTCCTTGGAGCCCCAGCCAGGCTAAGGGAACTCCTGGGCAGCTTCCTTGGGCTCTTGCTACACTTGGTGGAAAATCTGATGGGGCCCAGCCTCACCCAGAGGGTTCATTTCCCCCCCCATCCTAATTTTACCTATTAATTCCACCCGCATCTGCCCCAAAGTGTATTAAATAAAATGGGAATCTGGATTGCACTCTGGTCTGGGAGTTCTGGTGGATTGGAAAGCGATGGACAAGTACTTCTGATCAATAAACGGGCTCACTTCTTAAAGCCGGCCGCACTGTCTGCATCAAAGCGGGGGCCTTCGCTCAGGTACTTCTTGACAAACTTCCACACCTCTTCCAGCTCCCTGCTCAGAGGGTCCAGCGCCATCCGGTCCAGCTGTGGGGTGGAAGGATTTGAGCGCCGGTGAGGAGCCTGGCCTTTGCTCAGAGGGGGAACGACCAAGGGAGGGAGGGAGGCCCACGGCCGCTCGGCTGTGCCCTGGGAGAGCAGAGGTTCCCGTGGCCGGCCGCCAGAGAAGAAGAGGAGGGCTCACCTTGCAGTCCATGTCCGTGAAGAGCTTCTCCAAGGCCTTCTGCCAGTCCTTGTCCTGGAGGGACATCTTCTGGAGCAGGTCCTGCATCATCTCACTGAGCTGGCTGGTGGCCACCTGCAGCTCCCCGTGGTTCACTTTGGTCTCCAGGGCACTCTTGTCGGCTTTCTGGGGTGGGGGAGGAACCAATGAGTACCTCTCTCCCCCCCCCAGATCAGAGAGAAGCAATGGGATAATCATTTCTGGGAGTCTCAAACCCTGTTCTGCCTCCCACATCTCTCTGGTATTAAAGGAGTAGGAGCAGCTGTCCGGATGCCTGGATTTCTAGAAGGGAGCCGAAGCTCCAGCGGCTGCCCTGGCGGTTTCTCTCCCCACCCTCCAACCAACCAACCCCCCCCCCGGTCTCCCTGTGGCTCACTCACCACATTCATCTCTTCCCGTATCAGGGCTTTGTCTGCTTTGTTGATGTCCAACTGCTCCAGCATCAGGCGCATGGTCTTGGGGGGGGGGAACAGGAAGGAAACCCAAGTGTTTGCTCGTCCTTGGGCCACAGAAGAGGAAACTTGCCCCCCCCATCCCTTCCACAAGCGGCCATCGGATTCTCCCTTCTGCCTTCTCTTCTCCGGGCTACCTGCCCTCCGCCAGGGTTTCGGCATCAGGCCTTTGAGTCGGTCAGTGAACCTCAAGGGAGGGAGGGGGGTTCAGCAGCAGAGGTCCCACAACTTCCCCTCCTGGAGAAAGAAAGGGAGCCCCACCGGGGCGCTCCGGACGGACCGTTTCCTGCTCTGCCTCATCCCCCTGCCGCCGGCCTCCTTGCCCCTTTCTCATGGCCCCGGAAGCAAAAGCTCACCTGCATGTCTTCAGTGCTCTTGGTCAGCCTCTCCATCCTTTTCTGGAGCTTCTCGCATTGTTCCTTCAACTTCTCTACCTGGTCGCTCATCCCTTGCAAGGACTCCTTCCTCTGCACGAAACCGGACGGAAGGAAGCTGCTGGGAGGCCCAGCTGGAGCGCCCTCGCGGCTGCTCCCGCCCGCCTGCCCGTCAGCCACGGCGATGTTTCCGTGCCTGGCCCCACCACTTTCACTCCACCCCAGGCTTCGACAAGGACCACAATTTTGCTAAATGGGGGTCTCAGCTGCAATCAGGACATGACAAGTCCCAGAGGCCCAGGCACACTCAACCTAGAAGAAGTGCCCCTCTCCGCTGCTCCTCCTGCTCCGCCGCCCCACGGACATGCCCCTCTCCGCAGTCCAGTCCCCCTCCTCCTGCTCCTCCTGCTCCGCCGCCCCACGGACTGAGTCAAAACAGCCCCTCGTGGGCACAGCTGCAGCCCTGAGGCTGAACCCACGGCCAGCGCCAGCCCCTCTGGTACCTCCCACTTTTCTACTTCTACCCGGTCAGCTCCTTCTCCCGATCCACCCTCCTCCGAACGACCTACATTGCTTGTGTGTGTGTGTGGGGGAAATCAGCTCTCTGTTTCAAGGGGTGGGCACCCTTCCAGAGCGGCCCTGCCCTGGGCCCACCGAGGAGTCACCTGCTTCTCCTGGCTTTGCATCCGGTCCATCTGCTCCAGTAGAGCCTTCCACTCAGGCGAGAGCTCCGAAAGGGCTGGAAGAGACCGAGAAGAGACGCGCCGCGTGGGGGCTGCCTGGGCTCAACCCTGGCAGATCTGAGCTGGCCCCGAAAAAGGCGGCCCCCCTGAGTCGTTCTCTTGGGGCAGCTTCACCCGAGGCTCTCCCCAGAGGGTCTGCCCCCTGAGCGGGCGGCCCTTTTGCCAGAAGTGGTGGGACGCCACCCCTCTTCCCATCTTTCTCGTCAGAATCTCTGGGTCAGGAGCTGTCCGCATGGCCTGGCTCTCCTCCACACTCCCCCCAAGCCACAAGCCCCCTCCCAGGCACCAGCACGTGGGGGGGGCGCGTGCGACCCAGAGGAGGAGCTGGGGGGGGTCTGCCTTACCTCCTTGCCCCACCTGCTGCTTCAGCTGAGCCTCCAGCTGAGCCGTTCGGGCCAGTAGGGCCTCGTGCCGCTCGGGCAGCTGGGCAAGGAGGGCCAGCACCTCCCGGGCGGTTTTCTCTCGGCCCTCCTTCTCTTCCTCCAAGAAGCTCTGCAACGCCAGGGCATGCCGCCGTGAGAAAAGGGACAGCGCAGCAGCAAGGGGGCTGGGCGGGGATTTGGGAGAGGGGCGCTCAAGGGGCCCCCACAGAGCCACGACCCCCACAGGGCAGCTGTGGGCCAGTCACCCTCCCTCAGCCCGTCCTACCTCTCAGGGTTCTTGCCACAACCCCAGAAACGTAGCCAAGGGTATTGTGGAAGCTGCTTCTTGGAACCACCGGGCGCTGCACTCACCTGGCTTGTGAGCGTCTCACAGAGGGTGCTCCAGCGCACCAGGTCCGAGGCGTCCTGGAGGGTGGCGGTGGCGGCGGCGCCTCCTCCCTGGGAGGAGAGGGAAGAGGCAGGGCCGTCTGGAAGGCTTTTCGCAGCCTGAATCCTCCAGAATCCACTCCCAGCCCTGCTGCTGCTCGGAGGATTTTGACAGCCTCCTCTTAAAAAGCCAGCAGGGAAAGCAGCTTGGGCCGCCTGTCACCCACTCCCTCTGCTGGAGGAAGACCAGACGCTCAAGCAGCAGGAAAAGGGACACCAAGGAGCCAACATTTCGGGGTGTGTGTGTGGAGTGCATGAGACCTTGGGGGTGGGCGGGCTTCCTTGGAATACGACTCCCCACCCCTGCCATTTTTGCAGTAAGGAGAGCTAAGGCACAGCAGGGCAGAAGAGGGCTGGGGACGCAGGGGGGGCGCACGGAGCCAGCTGGGGGCTGGAGGAAGGGCACAGCCAAATTGTCCTGCCCGCCTTCCGCCCGGCAGGGTCCACTCACCAGCTGCTCCCGGAGATCTTCCAGCAGTTTGGCCTGCTCATCCAGACGCAGAAGTTGCTCCTTCATTTCTTCCACATTGAGCTAAAAACAGCAACCGTTAGAGCATGTGCAAAGTGACTCCTCCCGCCTGCAAAGTCACACACCCACACCCCTGGGCCTTGCAGACAGGGGCCTCTCTGGCTGGCTTCCTTCCTTCTTTCCGGGGGGGGGCTTCCTTCTTAGGAAATCCACCCTGGGCAAGGTGCTCCTCTCGGACCAAAGGTGTAAAGAGGTTTCCTGGATCACCCGGTTTTACCGGAGGCGCCCTGGGGTGCTGCTACTCACTTTGCTAAAGCTGTCCTTCAGCTGTCCCAGCTCACCCTCGAAGTTACTGGTGGCCACTTTCAAGGAGTAGATGTTGTTCAGCAGATCCTGCAAGGTCTTCATTGCCTATCAAGGTGCAAGATAAGAAGAAACAGAGGTTTGCACCAAAAGGAGGAGGATTCAGAGCGCAGCTGTCCTGAGGATCTCCGAGTCTCAGGAAGGAAACCCAAACAGACCACCCCAGACAACTGCCAGCAGTGCAAGGAGGGGGAAGAAGGCACAGCCTCCCTGCATGCACGCACACACGCACACACGCACGCGTGACAAAGGGCTTGACAAAGCAGCTTTTAAGGATGGCAGTCCCCAAGTCCTCCCCGGTTGGTCCAGGCAGAGGCCGTGCAAGCCGATTCTGGGAACTGCGATACCAAAACATAACTCTCCCTCCCCCCCCCGCCCTTATTCTCCTGCAGGGGAAAGTCTTCAAACGGCTATTGCAGAAAGAAGGAACATCACAGGGGGACTCAAGAGGGAGACCTAGAAGGGCAGCCCCAAAGAACTCCCCCCAACAAGGCCGCAGCCCCATGCTCTGGGTCCTGAGACGGCTCTCCAGAGGGCCGGCGTCTCTCCTGTGAGGCCTCAACATACAGCTAGGAGCCTCGCAAGACAGCTGGTCCCTGACAGAGCCATCCCCCAAGCCCTTCAAAGCTTAAAAACCCGTATCTGACATCAGGATCAGAAGGCAAACTTGGCAGTCCAGTCTTTTCTTGTATAAGGATGACATTTCCAGAGAGAGAAAGAGAGAGAGAGAGAGAGAGAGAGAGAGAGAGAGAGATGCTTTTTCTGCTGCAATGAAAGCAACGTAGAGTCTCGTGACACCTAAACGGCTAGCCCACGGGTGTAAGATGTCCTGGAGCTGCAGCCCTCCAGGGAAACAAACGGCAGTCCACAGGAGCAGCTGCCAAATGAACCCTCTCTCGGCCTCTTTCCTGTTTTGGCTTCTACAGCTCCCTTTCCCTTAGGATTTGCCACGTCCCTTCTGTGGTGGTGTACCAGCTACACCAGTGAGCCAAGGGCCAGGGTTGGGCAACCCAGGCCAAGCGACCGATCCAAGTTGTCTGTGGAAGGGAGGGAGGGAGGGAAGGAGAGGAATCGGGCCTCTTCCGCTGGACAGCTGAGTGCCCGATGACGTACCTTGGTCATCCCTTCCTCGTTCACTTCCATCTTCTTCTTCAGCTGCATCATCTGCCACATGTCCTGGGCGGGCTGGCCCCCACCCTGGCTGCGGGCCAGCAGCTGGTCAGTGCCCGGAGTATCGTTCAGGAAGTTCAGCTGCTTCTCAAGGGCCGAGATCCTCTCGTGCATCTGGTGGAAGATGGAGCTGGATTTCCTGGCCAGCGGGACGGCTTCGGCCGATGCCGTGACGGAGGCGGGAAGGCCAGAAGGTGGCTTAATAAAGTCCAGCTCGTCATCGGTGATTTCTTTCTTTACGTCTCGCAGGTGGAGGTGCTCCAGGAGGCTGTGCAGGAATAAGTGGAGGGCATTGAAATTGACGTTGCCAAGTTCTGGAGTGCCAATTGCCAGGTTGACCAACTCTGCAAAGGAGATGCTGTGGCTCATGCCTCCTTCTGTGGCGCCCGGCGGCTTCGGAGAAGCGGGTGGTGGCCTTCCCACAAGTCCTGATAGACCCAGAGGTGTCGAGCTGGTTGTCTTAGAGACTCCAAGATCAGGCTTGGAGTTAATCAGTCACCGCCATGGGCACAGATTGCTCTGGGGAAGGGCCTCTGGGGAAGAAGGTTCCTGCCGAGAGTTCTCTTTGGCGTGGAAAGTTTCTGCCCGTTGCTAGGAGACCCTGGAACACGGTGAGAGATCTGGAGGAGGGGGAAGAAGGGCAGCAGGAAGGGCTCTCCCGAAAGGGGGTGAGTCACGTTGCTCCTTAGAGCGAAGCCTAGGGAGCTTCAGCCTCCGGAAGGACGGATGGATGGACGGATGGACTTGGACAGCCGGCTACCAAGAGAACCAGCTGGAGGCTTGCCAGCAACACCCGAGCTGAGTCAACGACATGCAAAGGGCTGAGAGGTAAACTCGTACCCTCCTCCCTGTCTTCCTGACCCCACCTGCAGGTCCTGGCACTTTTGCCTCTTTAGGCGGCCCAGGTGATGGTGCAGGTGCATTCTACCTGAAAAGGTGCTGTCTGGCGACCCTCTCAAAGGGGAAGGGGCCAGGAGGCAGAGAGGGGTCCAAAAGAGCTGAGTCAACGACATGCAAAGGGCTGAGAGGTAAACTCGTACCCTCCTCCCTGTCTTCCTGACCCCACCTGCAGGTCCTGGCACTTTTGCCTCTTTAGGCGGCCCAGGTGATGGTGCAGGTGCATTCTACCTGAAAAGGTGCTGTCTGGCGACCCTCTCAAAGGGGAAGGGGCCAGGAGGCAGAGAGGGGTCCAAAAGA